GTTGTTGTTGTTGTTGTTGTTTCTTGAACATGACAATGAGTTCACTGTACTAAAATGGCCCCCACAGTCACCAGATCTCAACCCAATAGAGCATCTTTGGGATGTGGTGGAACGGGAGCTTCGTGCCCTGGATGTGTATCCCACAAATCTCCATCAACTGCAAGATGCTATCCTATCAATATGGGCCAACATTTCTAAAGAATGCTTTTAGCACCTTGTTGAATCAATGCCACGTAGAATTAAGGCAGTTGTGAAGGCGAAAGGGGGTCAAACACCGTATTAGTATGGTGTTCCTAATAATCCTTTAGGTGAGTGTATATATATATATACACACACACACATAAATTTTATATGCCCAGTAGCTAAAGACCCAAAGTATGTCATACTGTTCCCTGGAATATATGAGGGGTTCATTTGCTGTGTGTTTGTAAATTTTTAGCGTATGACAGTGTTTTAACAGTAGGTAGCACGTTGACACTAGAATTGTGATTACCTGGTGTCATTCATACAGTATGTGTGTTTTCATGAAAAAACTCAGTTTGGAGACCAGATGGACTTGTTGGTGATTCCTCCTGGTGTCTTGTAGTGTGTGACCACCTATCACTGATCAGTCATAAAGTGTGCATTAATTGTGAATAAATGTTGTTTTGATTACTTCATGGTTGTCTGATTTTGCTAACTCCAGTATGCTCTCGGTAGATGGGGCACACTCCCCTGGCCAGAGTTAAGAGTAAGCTAAGAGTAAGTTAGACTGCGGGGTAAGGGATAAGCACTGCTACAAATGAATCTAGGTTTTTGGACTGCAGTTTGGCTCGTATAAGTTGATCATGCAGAATCGGAGTCTCCGATGTTACGAGTCCTAGTCTAGGGTTGGGGTATAACAGAATGAAAGGGAAAGAGAAAGTGGAGTAAGGGAAAGACAGGGTGTGATGGACAAGGGAACACAAGTTGACAAAGGGGTTTTTTTATATTTTTCTGTTTTTTATCGACACGCCACAGACACTGAACAAATAGACCTGTGGCCTGTACTACGAAGGCGGTTTAACCAAATCAGACTTAACCCTGAGGTAATTTGCTAACGCAAGGTTGACAAAATCAGGTTGTCTCCATCGGGGCTAATCAGTACTACGACGCCAGTTAAGAAGTTGATTTGTTAAAACAATGTTAACTGCATTGGAGTTTGTGCGCGTTCACATATATGGAGCATGTTCGGCAACGCAAGGCACTGTTTGACTCATAGCGCGATCTCCATATGTTTCACGGAGGAAGACTGCATGCTAATTATGCAGGGTTATGAGGAGTTTAAATCAACACTGTAAAGAAAGTAGAGCTTAGATCGGGCCTAAAAAATTAAACCCGATCCTACCCGAGCCCGTGCACCTTGTGTCCGAGCCCGACCCGGTCCGACACATTAACTGTAATTATGAGCCCGAGCCCGATTTAAACCCGACTATTTTTTAATACGTGAGCCGTTGTACAGTAACAGACGTTCTCAACTACAATTCTAAGTTGTTTGAACTACAGAAATTAGTTTAGATTTATCTTAATGAAAAATGCAACAAGGACGAAGCATGTAAACTGCATTGT